GGGGCGCGCCGATGCTTGCGCGCGGCGCTCTTCCGCATGCGCAGACTGGACATCCGCGGCAGCGGTGCCGAAGTCGTCGGGGGCGACTGACTTGGCGCCGCTAGACTGCGAGCCGCTGCCCCCGATGTCCTGGACATGCAAGCGCGTCGCCCTCAGGTGGGCGTCGCCCGTGAGCGCGCGCGCCAGGTTTCCGCGCTGCCAGCGAACTGCCATCGGGGAGCTCCTCGTCGTCGCCGATCGCACCTCCTCGGCCAGCGATCGCGGCGCGGTCGCGCTCGAGGACGTCGGGGGGGGGGGGGGGGGGGGGGGGCGCGGGCAAGGGCGTCGCGCGCTGGGGCAGCCGCGTGAATCGCATGGCTCTTGATCGCCCGCTATTCCCCCAACATCTGCGAGGATATCGTAGTTGGCAATGTCTGAATGGTCATCCATGGTGGCAAAGCTGGAATTCAATGCGCCAGAAAGGATGCCGCGTTCGCGCGGAGGGCGCTGCGCACGAGGGCGAACAAAAACACGATGGAGACTTTGATCGCTTCCTGCTGCTCCCCGCCTTTCGGCCGGGGCCATAGGCCACCGCGATGGTCTAGACGCGCGGTAGGTCGCGTGCTTAGAAATATAAGAAGAATCGATCGATGTATTCGTCGGAATTCGCGGCCGCACTTCGACGCGCCGTAGACGCCGCGCAACTCTCTACCATCGGCTAGAAAATCAACGTCCAGAAGGAAGGCTGGCTCCTGTAGCGCCTGGCAGCGCTGGCGCCGGATAGCCAGGTCAGGCCGCGTGCAGGTTATTCTGGGATGTAAAAAATCGCCGAGCACGAATATCATGAGATGGTTGGGTTCGCCCCGTGCCTCTTTCGGGGCGGCCTGCCGCGCCGCGTTGAATTCCCTCTTGTCCTCCCCCGTCAAGTCACGGCCGCGGGCGTTGAGACATGCGCGAGGGCATTCGCGTCGTGGGTCAAGCATGCAGAGTTCAGCGATGCGGCTAGGAGCCATGGTCCTGAAGCGAATGTCGGGGCGTGCAGCAGGCCCCAGCTGCGTCCAGATGCACTTCGGGGCGAAGATGGCAACTCCCCCCGTGGCTTCTCGAACAGGATCCCCGCTGTGGAAGACCTTGTGCTCCTTCCTGGCAGAGTTGGCCAAATTGCGCAGCATGCGCCTGTTGCCGCCCGTCTCTTGCAGCGCGATGGGGGCGCTTGGGGCGAGGATGCGACGCTCGGCGCCCCTCCTGCGGAGGCTGCGCTGGGGGGGGGGGGGCGCCGGGGCGTTCCAGCTGACCATGGGAGCTCCCGGGCGCGCTGGCCCACTGCGCCGCGGATGCCGGCGTCTGCTGACGCCGCAGCGCGGCGGCGGCGGGGTCGGCAAAGGCTGCGGCGAGCTGCTCATCGATTTCGCTCCGCGCACGAGGGGCCGCGCCGTCATGGCCCGCGCAACCCGACCATTGGATCCGCGTGGGCTGCTCGGGGCGGCCCCCGATTGATAAGGCGCGCGGTCGGAGCGTCGTTGATCGAGCGGTAGCCGTCGGACCTGCGGATGCGGGATGGCAGCGTCGGGATGGGCTCGGGGGCCAGCTTCGAAGAGCGCTAGAGTTGGATCTCCTGGCGCACGAGCTTGGGGCTCTTGTCGGCGCTGACGTGGAGCGGGGAATCCGAAACGTTGTGAACCAGAAAGAGGACTTCACTCACGGCCGTCGCGAAAATGAAGACTCTCTTGGATAGGGTGCTGTTGGAGCAGATGCTTCAACTGTCGACGCCAACCGCTGCGAACCACGATGCAAGTGCGGGGGCGACCGTCTCTTCCGTAATGTCGACCGTGATGCCTTACCAGGACGTGCCGAGATGCCCACGTCGGTCCCGGAAACCTAAACTCGCGATATCCATGCTGGGGATGTATGCTTCTGTTTGCGTGACTGCGGGGTTGATTATTGGAGTTCTCTGTGGCAGCCATCAGCCTATCAATCTCGGCCAAGTCGTTCTCGGTGGCGCCCTGGCGCTCGGAGAGGGAGAAGTAGGCCCTTGCGTCTGCAGTCGTTTGTTTCTGCCGTGACACGGAAGGCAACAGTGGTTTCAGCCAGCTGCTCTGCCAGGAGTCCTCCAGGTCGCGGTCGAGGATGTCGCTCTTGCCCTTGCTGACCATGGTGACCATGGGTCGGCTTTCGGTGGTGATCGTTTGCGTTTTTTTTGCTGTCGGGGGGAAGGCATCGGGGATCATGCGTTCTTGAACATACACGCCACTGGCCCCGTCAGGATATGTTCTCGGCGCGAGTGTGGCGCCAGCCCTCTCTGCCACAGTCGCAAATATGGATATCTGTAAAGGGGAGAAATGATCGGACGTTGGCACAAAAGGTATGCCGTGGAAGGCTACAACCCCTGTGCCTGCCAACGTTGAGATATTGAGCCAACGCAACTACGGAAGAGGAGGGGAGAAGCACAAGGAAGAGGATAGGGATTGGGCAGCGCAGTCGCCAAACATGCTTGCCCAAGCAGGCGAAGCCAGGATTTACGGAGCAAGCTGCGTGCGTACATCCCTCGGGTCCGGGGGCGTTTTTCCTCCATGTTGCCTTGCATTTCCCACTGCGAAGCCCGAGCGATGTCTCACATTGCTGCGGCATGAACGCCCTCCTCCATTCTCGACCCGCTTGGGGCCGCATTTCGGCCCCTGGGAAGGGGTGTCGCGGGAGCACCCTGGACCCTGCGCTGAAAAAACACCGCGCGCACGACGTCGGCGGCCCGAGCCCTTCGCCCCACTTCTCGCCGCGGGTCGCTCGCTGGCCTCATGAGGGGCCGACGGCGGAACCAGGATACATCCTGCGGGGGTTATTAAGACCCCCATGTGATGACTGCTGTACTTTTTGCAGGAGAGGGAGGAGAACGCTAAGGAAAATGGCTGCAATGCCGCAGATGAGGCCGCCTGTCCTCACCGTGGATGTCTGGGCGAATCAACGGAAGACGTGTCACTTGTCGCCGCGCCGTTTGTTCTGAGCGAGCCCAAGTAGACGAAGACGGCACCGCAGCAAACCCCACGGGGAACCTTGCGTTTGTGGCGGCGTTTGCGCTGGTGTCCGTGGCGCCCTCTCACAGACGTAAGGCCGCGCGTCGGGGCAAACGGCGCGGCGACATCTATGAGTTTGCCATACGGCGGCATCCATGCTTTCTTTTGTTGCGTGACGCCTGGCGGTCTGAGGGCAAGCGGAAAGGCAGAGGTCAGCGTCCAACGCGCGGCGGATCCCCGGGTCGCCCCGCTGCGCCGGCCGCTGCGGGCCCCTCGGCCGTCCAGCTTCGCGCGCCGCGCGATGCGCGATGCTCGGGTCGGGCGAAAGGAGGGGATAGCAAAGGGGGGGCGTGAAAATCAGCTTGCGTAGCTGATTTTCCTGGCGCCGGAGGCGGCTATGTATCGAGGAATGGGCCCCTCGGTGAGGCCGAAACCAGCTGCATGCAGCAGATTTCGTAACCCCCCCTTTCCCAATCCCCCCCTTTCGCCCGGCCCGAGATGCGCGATGCCGGCTTGCAGCGCGAGCGGGCTATGCGGAGGTTACAAGTCCCTTGGACGCCGGAATCGAGGCCGAAGTTGGAAGCCCCTGGCCCACGGCTCAGGGCTACGGAGGGCGGAACGGCCACGATTCCGGCATCCACTTGGAGAGTTACGAATCCTTGGGATGCGCTTTGGCTGCATCTCCGCGCCCTCGCGAGGCCGCCCTGTAAAAAGAGCACCCCTGCGGCACACACCGCGACGGGTGATGCGCGGTGATCTTCGCATACCTGCGGGTGACCCAGGACCACTCTGGGGCCCGCTGACCCTGTTCTCCCCCCCCCCCTCCGCAGCTGAGGCAATGAGCCAGTCCTCGGGGGGTGGGGTCGAGAGTCCTTGGGCGGAGGTCTGCCATATACACGGCCAGGGAAGATTTGGGTCGAAGGCCCGCGCCACATAGACGATGCACTGCCAGCGCACCGACGATGTCGGGACGGAGAAGCCCCGACTCCGGATCGCGCCGAAGAATACAAGACCAAGACCTCAGGGCTTGAGCCTCCCCCCGCCCCCTCCTGCGGTCAGAGCGTATGCTGGTTGATGTTTCCTTGGCCGAAGAACACATGACGGGTTCTGGAAGCCCTGAGGCCAAAAACGTTGTCATCTCTCGGGGGTGTATGTCTTCCTCCGCTCGCCTTCCGCCGGCCGTCCGCCGGCGGAGGTGGCCTCGCTCTATATCCGCCGCCCTCTGCCGCCCTTCCGCCGCCTTTCGCCGAGGAAGAGATGCCAACTCCTTCGGCTCTCGAAGGCGAGGCCCTTTCCGGAACGCCGTTGTACCCCTCGAATGCGAGGGCCCGTCTGGAATGCCCCAGAACAGGGCAGCCAGCGCAATCGAGGCCAGGGGGCACGCGGCGATGAGTTTCTTCCGCGGCGAATGATGGTCCAAGGTTTTGGACGGGCCTGGCCATTTTTGGTGTCGGGAACTCCAGGGACGTCAGAAGATCAGGACCTTGGGCACAGATGACTGACCACATTGACCTGGGTGGGCATGTGAACGTATTGGGGGCCCATCAACCCTTTCTCCTTCTGCTCCTCCTCCTCCTCCTCCTCCTCCCTGGGCGCCCTCAGGCGTCATCCTGTGAGTGACGTTGTGACACATACCGCGGCTCAGACCCGCTGTGGGTTCTAAGCGGCTCGCGTCCTGGCGCTTGCTCGTTCGCTCGCTTGGGCACCCTTCATCGTGTCTGGCAACACTGGGGAAGAAAAGCAAAGGCGAGAGGGGGTCTCTCGATTACGGAATGCGGGGGGGAGTTGTCGCCGACAGGCGCTGCGCTGCGGCGCCTGTTCCGAACTTCGTGGGGTATGTGGGGGGTGCGTGTGGCACACAGCTCCAGCCTCGCAGAAGAACTTCTGAACTCTTGGGTCGAAACCCTCCCGGGGTGCTCACCTGCAAATCGTCGTGCAACATACCACGTAAGGTACCACTTGACGCTCGACTGCAGCGAAACAAAAAAAATGAAGGCAACGTGTTCCGCGGGCCTGCCGCGACCGTACCCGTGTCCCTCCAGGTTGAGGTCCACCTCGCTTCTCTCTGCTCTGGCGAAAGCTGCGCGTTGCGTCCTCCCTCATTCAGCGTGCCCCTTGACCGAAGGGCTCGAGCGCTCCTGACCAAGCATGCAACCTCCCCAGACCTCCGACCTCGTGTTCTTGTCACAACATGGGCCCCTGGAGGTATGGACCTTCTCGCCCGGACCGGTTCCTGTTGACGGTAACAGGGCCAGATGAGGGCCCCTTGAAGTAAAACCTCAGCCAACACAAATCAGCCGCTTTGGCGCAATGAAAGTAAGCCTGGGCCATTCATTCACGCGTGCCCAGCAGCGTACATTGCCGCCTGCAGATCTATATTATAGCTGCGCGCGCATTCCGAAGATCTTCTGATGCAGAAGCTGGCTCCCAGTGGCAGCGCGAAGTCCCTAGGCATGTGGTAATGCTAAGGGCAGTCGCGGCGCTGCCGGCCCCCACGGACACATGGTTCTTCCGCTGGGCGTGCACAGCAAGGGTACGGCGCAGGCAGGACGAGAACAACTCTGGATGGGAGTAAGCCGGGAATCTCCAGGAGCTGGCGGGTCGGGAGGAGGTGTCGGGCGCCGCGGCCTTCTCTGAGCGCTCCAGAACACCCTGGGAGCGACCTGGAAAACTCTGGGCCGATTTATCCTCATCCTGTATACCTGTCGAGATGGGTCCTGCGGGACGTTCCGTGAATCTCTGTGGAAGCTCATTCTCACATATACCGCATCGATGTAGGCGCCTGTCGAGGCCTTGAGCAGCCTTTCGTGTAGTTTTAGCGGCCTTGAATGGCCGTACTGGTCGCCTGATAGCAGTCTTTGGTGGCCTGTGGCGGCCCCCAGCAGCCTTCAGTGCCCTCCAGCGGTCTTGAGCAGCCTCTACAAAAGCGCAACGAAGCGTAGTTCGCGTCTTTTTTCACAAGCTTCCAAAGAGACCCACTTCAATGTCGAGATAGGTCCTGATTGACGGGTCCTGGATCTCGGGTTATGCTGTTCCCATCCTACTTAAGGACCGCATCCCAGAAGTAGTTTCGAGCACCCGGAAAAGTGTCGAAAGATTGTCGAAACAGTGTCGAAACAGTGTCGGGCGAGTGTCTCACAGGGCCCGGCACGTGAAAACCCTTGAGTTTCGGAACTTTTTTGGGAACTCGAAACTCTCCCTGGTGATCAAGGCTAGAAGTAGGGTTGGAGCATCGTACACCTCGGGGCCCTCCCCAGGGACTGACTCTTCCACACGAGTCGCTTCTGGACGGTCCCAGGGCCTGCGGAGGGAACCGACGGGGCCGAGGAGAGCCGGCGGCTTAACAGGGCTTGAGCAGGGACCGACCGTCCCGGCGTTCCTATAGTCATACCACGAAATGTTCTTAGAACCCAAAAATGTTCTAAGAACAAAAATAATGTTCTGAGAACATAAAGCCGATGTGATTAAACAAGACAGACTCCGCCAGAAATGTTCTAAGAACATTTTGTGGAAACCACAAAAGGTTCTTAGAACATTGCTTGGTAGGGCTATAGGCGAGCCAGGACGCTTCGCCGCAGCTTGAAGGGCCCCCTCCCCTCGGGACCCCTTCCAGCACGGAGCTCGTGCGGAATCAGCTTCCGGCAAGCCTGCCTCCACGGAGGGGGGGGGGGGGGCTCCCAGGGGAGCCCCTGCACGCAGGCTGGAGCCTCGCAGGCCGAGTGCTGCCTGCGCGCCCTTCCGGCCCAGCACCGCGTGGAGGGGCGGCGAGCGGGGGTGGGGCGAGGCAGGACGACGTGCAGGTGGCCTTGCCGGAAGCTGGATGGGGAAAAAAAAAAAAAGAAGCCCTTGGGTCCCGAGCGACGATGCCGGAGTTTCGGGGCCTTCCCCCCAGGAGCTGCTTCGTGTCCTGAGACGTTTCGTCACAGCTCCGGGGCCCAGGGAGGGGCCGCGGGAGGCCGCAGTAAGATCCCCAAAGCCTCCAAGCTCCAAGCACGCATTTTACAGGGCAGGGGGACCACCCTCATGACAAGCACCCTGGCAGGGGAAACCCTCAAGTAAACGCACCCAGGGGACGGCTGTTTCGCAAACGCAAGTTATGTGGGTCGGGGTGTTTTTCCTTTCCTCAGGACCCCTTTCCTTCACAATTTCTTTTTTGTGAGACCCCAGGACCTCCCGGACGCCTACAAACTTGAAAACGATGGCCGTCTGGTCGTCGCCAAAATGAGCCCCCGCGGGTCGTGCGAGAGCCCGTCCGACGCCACGGCATTTCTCACGGTTCGGACACGCGGAGCTTCCGACCCAATCCCTCTGACTTCCTGCAGAGCTGAACATACATGCCTCCATACCTGCCAGGAAGCTGGGACATACACTCAAACACAGACACAAACGCACACACACACACACATACACGCACACAAACACACACACACACACGAACACCCACACATAAACACACACACACACACGCAAACAAACACACACACGCACACACACAAACACATACACACACGCACACACACAACACACACACACAAACACACGGCTGTGCTCACACGTTGAGCGTGTGGAGGCCACGCGCTGGACCCGCATGCGAAAGCCCTGCGTGCCTGGCCATAAAGTGGCTAACGGCTGAGCGCTGGACAAAAACATTTGTTGTTCTGCGGGACGGGCAAATGACCACAGCCACTGCTTTTTTTCTCTTGCGCCGCCTTCCAGCTGGCCGAAGAAGAAGGAGTGGTTGTGGTCATTTCCCTGGCGCCAAGCTCAACGAAAATGACCACAACCACTGCTTTGTTTCTGCGGGCTGGGAGGCGGCATCAAAAGAAAAGCAGTGGCTGTGGTCGTTTTCACGCCCCGTATGTACCCAGCTCTCGCCCAGGCTAGCCGCGTCATGTGCATCCAGCACCTAGGTGCACAACTATCAGAGCTGCTCAAAGGCACGACTAGAACTTACATCCAAAGGTCCTGGTGCCATGTCTGAAGACCCTTCAAAGGTTCAGGACAAGGGCAATACATCTGTCGCGGGCCAACTTTTGATGGTCCCAGGACGCGAGCGCGGAGCCTGGGGCCCCGAAACCTGCGAGGAATTCGCCACCCGCCGTAATTAGCTCTAGTCGCGGCGCTTGGAAGCCAGGGGTCGTCGTCGCCGTCGTCGTCGTGGCCCCGCCCGCCCGGCGGATCTCTGGGACAGCGATGACGCCGGACCCGTGCATCACCGTGTCCCCTGCGCCGCCCCCGTGGCGGTCCGAGTCTGACTCTGTTGCTGGAGACGGGAGGACGGGGAAGATTCGGAAGAGCCGACAATCCGAGGTCCTGCACAATCAAGAACCAAACTGTTCGCGATTTTCGGCACGGCTTCCGGGTCCTGGGGCCCACAGATAGCAGTCCAGGGAGAGAGAGAAGAGACGATCCCGTCGGTGAACGTGTCGGGTCCAGGGGGCCACGCGTTGAACAAATCAAGGCGTCGAAGATCCGGGGAATGTGGCCGAGAAAAAATATCAGGGGGGACACAGAGACCACCGCCACCAAGAATGCATCTGGTGGGGCTGACCACAAGGCTCAGGTCGGGCATGTCCGCCTGCAGGCGGACTTGGGAAGAAATAAATAGCTGATCAAAACAGCAAAAAGAACACGAAGCATCGTCCCCAAATGAATTTTCCCCAATCAGTGCTTGCACTGAAGGGGTCCTAACGGATATTGAAAGACTGGGCGAAAACTTCCCGCCGATTTTGGTGGCCGGCTGGGTTCTGGGCTCCCGTTTCCTGGTTCCCGGGTACCCCGGACCTTCCATGATGCCGCTTTTCTGCGGCGCGCAAAAACGTAAACCTTTGGCGTTGCATGTCGACGCTGCGTTGTATGTAGTCAATTCTTCGTCGCATGTCGGATGCGCTCTGCGGCGGTTTCTTTCGAAAGCTCCGAAGACGACCCCGCGACATATGATGCTAAATGGCGCCGACAACTTGTGCTTCAACTTGCTCACATCGTCGTCGTGGGAGATGTCGCGGTCGCTGTCGTCATCGTCAGAGTCGGCCGCATCGTCGTCGTCGCCGTCGCGGTCGTCGAGGTCGACGTGGTCGCAATTGTTGTCGGTGACGTCGTCGACGTGGGCGTCGATGCCAAAGCTGCCATGGTGGTCGTGGCCGTCGCCGACATCGCCGTTGATATCGTCATCGTCGTTATCCATCGCCGTCGTCATCGTCATCGCAGGGCCCTATGAACGCTAAGAACCGTGCGAGGCCTAAGAGCCCCATGAGCCCTATGATCCTTACGACTACCACTGCCACTAGAACTATTACAACTTCTACGCCGACTACTACTACTACTACTACTGCTGCTGCTGCTGCTACTACTATTTCTGCTACTACCATTACTATTACTATGACTTGCTACTACTACTACTACTACTACTACTACTACTACTACTACTACTACTACTACTACTACTACTACTACTACTACTACTACTACTACTACTACTACTACTACTACTACTACTACTACTACTACTACTACTACTACTACTACTACTACTACTACTACTACTACTACTACTACTACTACTACTACTGCTACTACTACTACTACTACTACTACTACTACTACTACTACTACTAGTAGTACTACTACGACTACTACGACTACTACTACTACTACTACTACAAAT